TCCCTCCCTCCCTCCCTCCCTCCCTCCCTCCCTCCCATCTCGTCGTCCCTCCCTCCCTTCCATATCCACACCTTGCCATAGTATCTCGACATCCTTCCCTCCCTCCCATCTCGCCACCCACTCATCTCGCCATCCCTCCATCCATCCATCCTTCTTCTTCTTCTTCTTCTTCTTCTTCTTCTTCTTCTTCTTCTTCTTCTTCTTCTTCGGCGTTGTAAAGCAGTCTCCCTCCGTCCGTCCATCTTCCAAAATTTCAGCAGTTATTTATTGGAAGCGGAGGAGGTGGTTGCAGCAGCATGGCCAACGGGAGCAGGGCAGGGGGTGCGGTATGTGGAGAAGGAAGCAAGAGGCAGTCGAAAAGAGGAGGGGGTAGAGGGAAGGACATTGCGAGCTCGAGTGCACCTTCGTCGGGGGTGGTTGACAAAGTCCCGACGCCGGCTACTGACCCATCCTTGTTCGTCCCACAGCCGGAGGTTAAGCAAAAGAAGCTGCAGGGCGAAAAGGAGGTGTGGAAACATGTAAAGCAAGGTCAGGAGGCTGTGCCGAAGGGGCAGGGAGAGTATTGGTTGCGGTGTCGGCTGTGCTCGACCATTTACAGGGGCACGAGCACAAGAGTCGTTGAGCATTTCCTAAAACTGCAGAAGCCTTGCCCTTTCAGGACGGGCGAGGTATTGCACAAGCTGGTGGCCCAAGGCGCGAAGGTGTTGTCGAAGGACAAGAAAACGCAATACCTTCTGCAAAATTACCGGCAGCTTCACAACATTTCGGCGGGGGGTGCTCCTGTCGATGAAGACGACGAGAGTGCGGTTGTTCCTCGCGGTAATGAGGAGCCACAACCGCTGGTTGCTACTGGGAGGGAGCCAGCGGAGGAGCCGGTGCAGCGGGGAAAAGAACCTGCAGCGGCACAAGCGGTGGGAGAAGATGATGGTGCTTCCACCACAAGGATGGCTTCAATGCAGCAAACGACCATCAAGAGATGGGTCGAGAACGCGGCGCAGAAGAAGTTGGATGTCGCGTGGGCGGAGGAAATGTTCAGATCCGGAATTGCATTCCAATTCCTAGAGTTCGACTCCACACAGCAGCTGCACAGCGTGTACCTCGAGGTGGCGAACGCCAGACCGCAGTTGAAGTTACTGTCTGCGAAGCACATTCAGACTGTCATGCTGGAGTTCATTTTCATGCGCATTCAAAAGCAAGTGGAGCCTTTGACAAAATGTTGGGATGTCACCGGCTGCACTTTCATCACGGACGGGTCTAATGATCGGAGGAACTTCTTAGCGGCGGGGGAGCAGGGAGCTGTTCTTGTGGCAACGGTGTACATGGACAGCAAGAAGAAGACGGGAGCGGCGTTGGCGAAACTGTGGGAGAAAATAATGAGGGAGATTGGGCTGCAGCGCATCAACGCGATATGCACTGACAACGCGGAGGTGAACAAGAGAGCAGCTCAAATTTTGGAACGGCGCACAGACCTTGCGGTTGCAAGAATACCTTGGGTTCCCTGCGCTGCACATTGCTGCAGCTTGCTGCTAAGGGACATCAGCAAGTTGGACTGGGTGAAGAGCACGGTGAAGCGGGGCCACACCATCGTCAAATTCATCTGGAATCACCACACGACTAACAGTTTCATGATGAGTTTGGACTCATCATTGACGCTGTTGCGGCCGACCGAGGTCCGTTTCGGGTCGGTGTACCGGATGCTGGAGCGGATACACAACCGGAGGGCAGTTTTGAAGGACATGGTGGACGCGACGAATGTGGGGAAATGGAAGGCAATGCGGTGGTCGAGCGCGAAGCTGCAAGCGAAAGCGGATCTCGTGTACTTCACATTGCGGAGGGATGCTTGGTGGACGGAGCTAAGGAAGGTGGTGGAGATGATGGAGTTGTTGTATCTCCTACTGCGAAGGATGGACAAGGACGAGACTGCACCGTCAAACCTTGTGGAGTACGACCGACTCATGGAGAGGATGCTGGCGGAGGTTGTGCTGACACCGGAGCAGCGGAGTTCGGTGCTAGAGAAGGTGAGGGACCGCATGAAGATTATGCGGCAACCGGTGCATGCGCTGGCTTTTCTTCTCGACCCGCGGAGGAGAGATCCGAAGTGGTTGCTGGACCGCGACAGCGCACTTGTACAGAACGCGCTGCGTTATTTGCAGAGGCAAATTAGCGGACCTTGGAAGTCCAAGGCGCACGTGGATATAGAGAAAGACCTGCGCGAGTTCCACAAGCGACCCACCGCATACGACCCCAAGCAGAAGGACAAAAAGATGTGGGAGCCGGATGCGGTCGAGGATGCTGATATTATATCGCCGACGGAGTGGTGGGCAACATATGGTGGCGATGTGCCGAAGTTGCAGGCCATTGCTATTAAAGTGATGGGCATGTGGAGCACGACAACTCTGGCGGAGCGTAATTGGTCCTCGATGGACTTGGTGCAATCCAAGCGACGGAATCGATTGAAGCTCGCGACCGTGGAGAAGCTTGGGTACATTCATTGGAATATGAATCTGTTGCGGGCGAGCAAAAACGTGAAGGAGCATTGCTACGTCGATTTGTGGGCGGAGTTCTTCGAGTCTCTTCCGGATCCGGAGGAGGGCGATGATCCTCTTTTGGCGGTGCCCGAGGAGGAGAAGGGGAAAACAAACGAGGATCAGGCGCGGGAACGGGCCTTAACCAAGTTACCAAAGGGCCGGATTCCGAAAAAACTCGAAGATGATGAAGAGGAGCACACAGACGACAGCGACCTGGAGGACGAGATATGGAAGGGAAAGGCTCCATGGTCGGAATCATCTAGCGAAGGGGAGGCAGACGACGGGTCTGACGATGACTTTGAGCTGGGAGCGCAGCCCACAATCCCAGGCATCACATATGTTGGGAGGAGGCGAACAACGCAGTGCCACGGAGAACGCCCGCCCACAACACCATGTCAAGGGACGACTAATACAATTGCGCAGTACGACATCCAATCCGATGTTGAGATACTGCAGACGGACACCGACATTGACATGGTGCTTCACCCTGGTCTGATCGATGCAGATGAGGCGGAGGCCGATCGTGCGAAGGCAATGGCTGATGCGGATCGCGAACGGGTGCAAAGGAGAATGAGAGAGGAGGAGGAGCGGCGAGCAGTTGTACCAACCCGTAGAGAAATGCAGAATCAAAAGAAGAAGGTTGGAGAGCATGAACCAGAGTCTGCGGGGGAGATGGGGCAGCACGAGGAGGAGGAAGAGGAGGAGATGGGCCAGCAAGACGAGGAGGAAGAGGAGGATATGGGCCAGCAAGACGAGGAGGATAAACAGGAGATGGCCCACCTGGCGCAGGAAGAAGCAGAGATGGAGGAGGAAGAAGAAGAGGCTTGCATGAAGCAGCAAGAGGAGGTGATGAAACAAAACGAAGGGAAGGGCACGGACCAGCAAGAAGAGGGGTTGGAGGACCAACATGCGAAACGGGTGGGAGAGAGCGAGGAGGAGCAGCAGCACGACGAGATGGCTCACAGTGAGGAGGAGCCGCAACAGCAACAGCATGCACCGAGGACCGTGTACAAGGGTCGGAAGAAAACAGCGGAGCCTGCCGGGTCGCCGGAGAATTCCCCCGAATTCCCAGACAACTTAGAGGGGAGCCAACACGACAACCTGTGGGTCAGCAGGGTTGGGAGGAAGAGGAAGGCCCCCCCTGTCGACGATGTGCCGAGGCCGAAACTTCCACGTGGCAGGCCTCGGAAGAACAAGACTGCCAGTCCGGCTACGAAGCCGAAAAAAAAAAAACGGAAGTGCAAGCCTCGCACAAAGATTGTCGAGGACAACCCCGATTCCGATAGCTGCAGCGAGCACTTCGTCGAAGACGAGGGTTGCACTGATGACTGACATTGGGGTGTGTGTGTGTGTGTGTGTGTGTGTGTGTGTGTGTGTGTGTGTGTGTGTGTGTGTGTGTGTGTG